TTACAAAGAGATTAATCACGATATCTGACCAATCATTAATGAGTAAAGGTCTATTTAGGTGATTCTCAAATGCATTAAGTTTCTTCTGGTTTAAGGATAGAAACAAGAAAACCTTGCGTAGAAACAAGAAAACCTTGCGTGGACCTGAATTTCTTGATCATCATCCTCTGAGGCAATGAACGTAACGCTTTGCAAATTTTCTTCTGCACGAAGTAAGATTTCTTACTTTTGGCGTAACGTCAGTTTAACACTGGCTTTTATATTGGCACCCATTAAACATTATTTTATAAAGTTTTAATTATAAATTTAATCCTTATATTTAACATTATTTTATATTTTAGACATATTTTTTATATATTTTATCTTTGTATTAAAAATTATTTTCTATTTTAATAGTGTTAAATTTGATTACAATATTTAATAATATTTTATTTTGGTCTCTCTGTATAAAATCTCTACATTTTAATCCTTAATGACATTTTTTTATCCTTCATGAAGAAATTTGCCAACACTGTTATAAGTTCAATAATTTATGGGAATCAATTTATGATTTTTTTACATATAAAATCCAAGATATATAATTTTTTATATATAAAAACTAAAACAAACTTTTTATAATTTTGTCGTCAAACTATGTAACGTTGAAATAGTACTTCAAAATAATCTATGTTTTTTCACAATCTTTTTAATTTTCTCAACATCCTACTTAAAACAAAATTAAATTTTACAAATCCACTTTTGATAAAACACTCTCAAAGATAAACTTTATCCTTTTGAAAAATATTATACTTAAGTTATTCTACAGAAATGTCGAAACACTCTTTATCAGCATGTATGGCTTGAAAAATGTCTTTTCGCTCTTGCTTCTGACCACAACTACTTTATATGTTGTGGCACTAGGAAGTATTTTGATTATTGATTTTGTTTCATTGATGGGTAAATTGTTTAAATTAAGCTTGCTAAAATGTTAAATATGCCCCAACATAGAAAATGAAAGAAAGAAAAAGAAAATATTATAGAATATGTTAAATGAAAAGAGAAAGTAACTTTCCTTTCCCTCTTTCCTTATAAATCGTAAATAATGCCCTTGCCTTCTAATGTTCTTCATTCCAACTCATCTGATAATTTTTTTTTTTCAACCCGTATGGTTGATCATCACATTATTACAACAAAAAGAACACAAGAGAAAGAAGGTGTGAGAAAATCCAAACTCAGAGAGGATACAAACCTCTTTTTCTGCTTCATAACCAGATCTGATCCTTAGTTTAACTTCAAAAAAAAAAAGAACTATTTGCAAACAGATTAAGTATGCCCGTATATATATACATTGATGCACAAACATGGAGTCGATTTAATCTGCAGTGAATTGTGTTAATAATTATGGGACCGACAAGATTATGCAAGATTATTTGGTTTTTAAGGCTGGTGAAGGTTGCAATCAAACAGCTAATGCTGCTGGGGAGAAGCTAGGCACAGTCTTTTTTTGACAATGACACATATTGTTCCTATGATTAGAAATATTTTCCTTCATTATATGGTTTTGCTTTTCAGTTTTATACTTTTATGTCCTCTATGTTTAATCCAAAACCAAATAGTATTTATACCATAAAGACTTTGGAAGCTCGACGATATTGATATTGTCTTCACTTCTCTTTATTGGCTACCTTTATTTGCATCTGTGGTTTGATAGTTGCCCAATTTCGTCCATTCATTTGCATGGATAGAAATACAAATCAATTACATCACACTAAAATCAAATTTTAGAATGATCAAGAATGCTAGAGAGTTCAGCTCTTAAGTTATTTTTCTCTTCTATTATTTTGCCGGATGTAATCATAAAAATCTTCATTAACAAGAGTTTGTTAACAATCTAAAGATAAAATAAGAAGAGGTGTAAACAACCATCTTCATAACCAAAGGAAAACAAACTCTGTTCAATGGAAAAATACGATACCCTCTAGAGAAAAATCCCACTTGAATTGATAATTAAAATTTGAACATTGCTTATCTCACTAATCTCGTCATACTTGCTAGGAATCTTTACACAAGATCAAAAGCCTTAGGGTAACAGATAATAATAAAAGAAAAATATCAGTTCTTTAAGAATTCCATTTCCTCCTCTGCTTGGAAACATTGAAACAACTCTACACGTATTATCTAAAAAGGAAATGAGCAGAAGATATAGATGATGGAGAGTGCAACACCCGCGGGACATTCAAAACATAATTCCTCCCTAAATGGATCCTGAAAGAAATCATGCATGTCATTATCCTGGTAAATATCCATATATATATATATATATATATATATATATATATATATATATATAAAGTTAATAAGTTTTTTGGTATACTAGTTTATCAATGAAAAATATCATAAATACAGTCTTGTAGTAAAATTTAAATATTCATGATTTCAAATAATTTGTTTCTTAAAGCACTTGTTAGTAAAATCTCAAATTAAATTTAAAAAAGCATACAAGACCATTGAATTGTATTTGTTTCCTAAATAGGAATAGTTTAAGTTCATTCTAATTGATACCTAATTAACCTATGTATTATTTAAACAAGTTCTTTTATTTAATTCAGGTTACTGGCTTTAGATTAAGTTTTAGTCATTTTTTATTTTAAATATTTCTCCTCATTTTTAAATCACAACTGGTGAATTAAATCAGTGGTTTAAAAAAAAGAAAAAAATGATAAAAAATAATAAAATATATGGGATTATTTTTCTACTAATCATTTAATTCCAAATTAACTGAAAGACTTATTAGAGCAGCACTTATAATTTAAGAATTAATTAGGATAATTTAAATAAGGATTGCCTATTTAAAAAATAAATAAAATTCTAAATGGTATTTTCCCTAATTAAACTAGCCATTTCTTTGGTCTATTTTCTTTTCAGATGGGTCCAGCTTTTTTCCAATGGCCCACTTCACCTACCCTTGGCGCAAGTCCGGAGACGATGAGATGAATTAGGAACTAAAAATTAAATAAAGTTAAAATAGAATAAAAATTTGTTATTTAAATGAATAGAAAGAAGAAAAAAATTCTTAAACTTGTTTGGATGTATAAAAAAAAATGAAAATAAATAAATATATTATAAATAATAAATATTTTAATAATAACAAAAAATATTTAATAAAAAGAAATATATATTTTTAATATAAGATTAATTCTTAATATCTTTTCCAATTTTTATATTATTTAAAAATTATTGAACATTAAAAATTAAAATTAAAAATATCCTCCTTTTATTATTTATTTCACGGATAAAGTGAAGAGAACAAAATTTTGTGAATTCCACCCATCTTTTTTTTTCTCTCTCTATCCACAAAAGGAGCATCCAAATAAAGAAAAAACAAATTTTTTGAACAAATCTATCCCCGATTATTTAGTGTGTTTGAAATTAAAGAGATAAAAACAATTATTATTCATTAAATTGGAACATCTGGAATGTCCTCAAACAAGGACTTGAGGGACTTGGGCACTCTATTTTTGATATTTTTTTTTAAAATCAGCATATTTCAATGCACCTTAAACAAATTGATACAATCAAACTTAAGGTTCTTTTCTTCTTTCAAAAGAATAACAACTTAAATAAAAATTATAAAATAAAATTAAAGACCAAAAACTTCATTAATTCATCTATTATTCCCACACCCAATACACGAAAGTAAATATAAATAAACCGAAATCCTTGGCGAAACCAAACTCTGATTAATCTCAACTCTTGATCATTCTTCACTGCCTTCTGAATTGATGAGATTAACTGCAGTTTTTCTTCTAAATTGTGGACATAGAGTAAAAGAAAATGTTTATTGTATATATTTAAAGAGGAATTTTTTTGAGTTTGATAAAAAATTTTGTGAATAACATAATATTTTCCTAAAATTTTGTAAAATAAATCCTTTGATGTCTCAAATAACATAACTGTAAAGCAAAAACAAGTTGCATAATAATACTTTAATTATCATCAAACTTTAATGTTAATAAATTAATTTTAAATTTTAAAATAAATTTAATTTTTTTAAATACCTATTAAATTTTTTTTCTAAATTAAACCTAATTTTTTATTTACTAAATAGAGAGTTGTGGGAAAAAAAAAAACACAACTCACATTACTTGGCAAAATAATCAATTAGAAAATTATCCTATATCAATATGTCGTATATATCATGCAAAAATTAATGAACTAGTAGCCTAAATTTGTATTTTTCCAAAGAATATTTCGTTGGTCTACTCTTTTAAATATCTATACCATGTATTTACATTTTACGATTTTGTTAATCTAATTTTTTAAGATTAACTTTAAATATTTAAAAGTAATAATTTTTTATTAAAAATAAAAACACACTTTATGTTTCTAATATAATAATTTTTATTATTATCTTTGAATGCTTAAATTCCCACCCTAAACTGATATTAATAAAACTGCATATTTTATTACGCTTATACATGTGAAAGAAGAACCCCATATGGTGTCCCACGCAATAGCTTCGAAGGGCAGTGGTTTTATTTTATTTTTTTTCCAGTTTTGCAAATGAATTATCATCGATTGAATTTAAAATCTTTAAAAACAAGGGAAAATTATTAAAAATAAAAAATTAAATTTTATGTCAAATTATAAATAATAAAGATTTTAATTGTTTTAGAAATCAAAACTCATGTTTGGATTTTATTGATTTATTAAAAAAGCTTTTTAATAAAAAATTAATCGTTATATACAATAAAATAGGTTAAGTTTTACTGCCGAACACACATAGATAATCTAATAAAAGTTAATTTCAATGGATTATCTATAACAGTAAAAAAAAAATGTAAGTTTTAAAATTTAATTTTTTATTTCTTGAATAATAATCCCAATACGAGATTTTATTTGCCAATCAAACTTATAATATTTAAATTTATTTCCGAAAAAACGTTTTAACACTGAAACTCAAAAAAATAAAAAGTAAATAAACAATAACATCGCTCTAGATTTTAATTGTGTGGGTTACCAAACTCAGAAAATCCCTAAGTCCCTTATTCCCGCGCCTTTCTTCTTCCCTCTCCTCTCTGAAGAGAATGGTTACACAGTACGGCAACAAATTCGCCGTTCACCTCATCACCAACCACTTCGGCAATCTTGTCGCTGTAACCCTCTCTTTCTCTTTTTTTCTTGTTACTGATTCAATTGGTGTATAAATGTTGATTATTTTGCGTGTGCAGAAAGTATGCGAAAATCTATTCAGCCATGGACCTCTCACTTTGGATCAGTTGATTCGCTTCACGGAACTTACCAAGGAGCAAGTCAAAAACTCCCTACTTGTCTTAGTTCAACACAATTGTGCCCAAGCATTTGTTTCTTCTACTGAAGACAAAGGTAGTGCTGTTATTTTCTGCAATCCCTTCTTTTCCTTTTCAAATTATTGCATGCTTTTAACTTTATTATTACCTACTTGCAATAAACTTGTTGGTGTAAAATACTATTTTAGTGGTTATGATGCCGTGCCTTGGTTTGCTAGATTAATGTAATGTTAGCCATTAAACACTGCTCCATTAGTGGGTAAAGTGACCTGATGGCGATATTTTGAATAGTTATGAATGCAGATGATGATGCAGACAAATCGAGAGTTAGAACGCGGTACATGGCATTGTTTGATAACATAATCCATCGATTGAGATTTCCCAAATTCTTGGAGATTGTCTCGCGGGAGCTTAATGAAGAAGTTAGCTTGATCCTTATGTTTCTTGAAACTTTTCGATGTATGGCTTAAAATGCTGAGTGTTTTCCACTTGTTTTGCAGTGTGTAGAGCTTCTTGACGGATTGCTTCGTGATGGTAGGCTTACCCTGAAACAAATGGTTGACAGAGCAAGTCAAGGAAAAGGCAAGTATTTTAGGATGTATGTGCTACATTGAGCATTGTTTCTTATATTAATTGATTTAATTAGACAAAAGAACAAAAGTTTAACACAGATTGACAAATACTATTTATAAGTATTGTGTGACCTATCAATTGAATCATACATAGAGGAATTATGATTAAACCATATTCCTCCTTGCAAATCAGGTGAGGGAACTGTAGATGAATTTTAAACTACGGAAAACAAAAGTATGTCTGGAGTGGGTCAAGGTACATGTACTAGAAGTGTGGTATACTTTGGTTTGGGTTATAGGAATGGTACATCATACACAACTTTGCTAATTTTTTGGTACATTAGGAGAGGGCTTAGTTAGTTTACAAGTGAAGGTAGTGATACAGTCAAAGACTTACGTGAGTCTTTCAAAATTATGTTGAGGAGAGATATATTACTGAATCTATAATTGAACAGTATACTCAATTTGATCAAACAGCTGATCTCACCTAGTGGGATAAAGCTTTTGTTGTTACTCAATTTAATCAAACATGTACTTGCCTCTTGGTAATATGTTGAAAGTACTGTATTTTAAACATGGTTTAGCTCATCTATATGTCTTGAAATCATGAATCCTCTCAAATTAATCTATCTCAAATCATATACTTTCACTTTCAGAAAATGCTGTGGGTACAAAAGTTGTACGAGATACCCTTTCTAAACTTTTGACAGCACGGTATGTTGAACGCTGCCCTGCCCCTGAGCCAATTGTTTCTACTGTATTTAAAGAAGAAACTACTACTAGGAAGCGTAAGTCTGCCAAGGTAATTGTTCACTCATGTGAGTTTTTTTAGGTTAACTGGATTTTCTTTAGTTAATTATTTTGGACAAGAGGCATTTGGCCTCTATTTGTTGTACAGCACACGATCATTCTGTAATTTTTTTTCAGTTCATCTTGATATATTTCTCTATTATTTTTATTGAGCTTACCGTAGCTTTTTGCTTATTTTTCTGTTGACTTTGGAGCAAAAGGCATTGTCTCTGCTAATTATCCAAGTTTGAGATCAAATTTATGGTAATATGAATTAGAAAGGAAGTTAAGATAAGATAATGTCAGCAGTGAGTTCAATTTACTTGGTTAATTATTGAATTTTGTATACACAGATGACCCATCATTTAATGCTTCCTTTAGGATGCGTACTGTCAGAATAATGTTTCATCAGTTACATATAATGAAAAGGAAAATAAGTGCTAGAAAGTCGATAATTAATGGGCATTCAGTGTTATCATTTTTTATTGAAGTTGCAGCAGCATGGTGTTCAGTCTTGTAACCTGAATGTAAATGTTGTCAACACTGTTACTTTTGATACTTTGTGGCTTATAGATATTTGAGCCACCAGAGACAATAGAGCAACGTGTTCTAGAAGCAGCAAAGCCTGGAGAAGCAATCAGATTTTCATTCACTGCTTACACAGGAAGTAATGCTGATGGGGAAACAATTTCAGATGATTCCGAAATGATTAAAGTTGAAGAAGATGCTGGTAAGACTACTAGTTTTCTACTACTTTTCAGTTCATAAAATCTTAATTTTTTGAACTTGGGTACTAAATTTGGTGCAGCAAAAGAGGAGCTAATACTTTGGCGTGCAAATTTTGAGGAGTTTATACGTCATCTTAGGCATAAGGTTGGTTTAGCAATAAATATACTATTTGAACTTTTCACTGTTACTACCCAGGCTACTTTTTTTTTTTCTTTGAATTTCCTCCTTTTTAAATACAAATTCTTTATGGTTTAACAAACTGAGAAAGGGAATTGAACTTGGGAGTTGTAAGTTGTAACAAGCAGACTACATGGTTAATGATAGTAATGTTTTGAATAAAAAATGCAAAAGTTGAAGGGCAGAAAAAGGCTACATTCTAGTGTCATATAAATGTTGAAACTTAAATTTGAAACCCCCTGCTCTTGAAGGCAACTATATTGTTTTCAAGTTGTCAAATGCATACTAATAATATATGTCAATCTGGATACAGCACCACATGAAATCACATAGATTACTTATTGATTGAAATAGTGCCTTAACATTGGGGTAGTTCAATTTGAAGTTCATAATGTTTTAGGAGTTATGTTCAATGGTTAACTTTGACATAAGCTAGCATTGATCTGATTCACATCTTACCCTTTACACTGTACAAAATTTTACAAACTCATAATTTTTTACAGTGAGACACTCATGGTTTGGGTGGGGGTTGTATTCACATTGCTGGATCGTTATGTAGTGCTTCCTCCAGAGCAGTTGCCTTTTTGGCATTTACTTTGATTTCCCTGTTGATGCTACTGTATTTTCTCTTAGCTTGTGAGTTGAATGTGGCAACAGGAATTGTACTATGATTACTGTGCACTTGGTTTTATTTTTGATCATATTAGTAAAAGATTGTAATGTTATCATGCTATGATGTTTAATTGAGCATCAATGTTTTAGTTTTTTGGTCTTCTGTCTGTGGATATTATTATTGGAAGCACACGCTTAATATTCTATGTATATTCTAGGTATTGATTGAGAATGTAAGAGCACAGAATGATGATGGAACTGCTACTGTCTTATCTGCAATATTGGGAGCAACAAGAAATGCAGAGCAAAAAGTGAAAATGGATAATTCAGGTGAACCAGATTTCTTACACTGAATTTTGTATTTATTTTGATAAACAATTCTGGTTGAGTCCAGATTTACACTATGTTTGCATGAAAGGAGTGAAAGAGAGATGAATGAAATAGAAAAGAATGACATAGAGATAAATGAAATAGAAATGAAATAATGCAGTGTTTGGATTAATAGAAATAAAAATGAAATAAATGAGATTAATTGAAGTATAAGTATATAAAGACTATTTTATTCTCACATCAATTGTTAGATATTATTTAAATAAGGAATAAATTGTCCATAAAACGTTCAGTACATTTGAACACTGTTTCACGGCAAATTGGGCTGAAATTTTTTAACATGGTTCCCACTGTAATTTAAAAAATTTATTCACACATTTCACCTTCAAGAAATGGATGAAATGAGTTGAAATCCTCCAATTTCATTTGTGCCCATTTCAGCCCACACCATATCAGTAAAATCACTGTTAGAATACAAACGCAAATACACAGGATTTGCTCCTAACCAACAAAGAGTCTCCTGCTTCAACGTTCTTAAAATGCAAACTGCACGACAAACTACCTTACACGCCCAAACAAGCATAAACCTCCCCCACAAGAATTGTCAAATGTTGAAACATAACCCACAATAAACAATGGGGTAAGATTAGGCATTTGGCTTTTGTTTGGTGTGAGATAGTTGGCCTTTTTAATGGGATTTCCCTAATAGATATTGTTATAATACATGAAAATATATGTAAAAAAATATCTTTTTCATATCATAGATTACTTTCTAGTATTAGTTTCCTTATTTCTCATTATTTCATTATATCTTAAGATTGATTACCATATTTCTGACTGTTATTTTATGGTACTGTCTTGACCTATGCTATATTATCCTATATTTCAGTTTCCTTATCACTGGATACTATTATCACAGAGGTGATGAAGACTGAAACAGGTCGAACAATGACCATAGATCGTATTAGAGCTTCCCTTGTCCAGTTGGGTTGTTCACAGAAGATGATTATAGATGATTCATATGGTATTGGTATGTCATATCTCTTTTCCTCACTGTAGACTATTTTTTGTGGTATAAAATGTCCACCATTTTATTTTATTATTTGTTTATGTTGAAGACTTCTTTTATAGTCCTGGTATATCATTCCTTTAATAGTCTGTAATTCAGAACTCCTTTTCCTTTCCAGATTTGAAGAAAATTATTGAAAGGGCTCGAAATGAAGAGGTTTTAATATATTTATTTTCTTTACAAATTATATTATAGATACATTCAGGTTTTGCTTATGTAGAACAGTCTTGTTTTATGTACTATGTTGCAGGTTGAGTCAATTGTGTTGAAGAGGTATGGCAGGGATGCGTACAGAATGTTCAGGTTACTGTCAAAGGATAATTGTTTTCATGACACGGATCAGGTGATTATTTCTTGTTGATGTAATTGCTAAAAATTATTAATTTTCCCAATACAAAAAGGGGATTCTATCAAATCTTCCCAATATTAACTTATGCTTTAGGGGGGTTGTTCACTGCAATGATCCGCTTGGATTTTGAAGGATGAAGAACTGCTAGCATGATGACATGTAGTGTATGTTTGATAAAAGGGCAAGTTTAGGCAATGAAAAATTACTAAGATATTTTCATTTTTGAAAATTTTAACCAATGAATTTGTATTGTGTACACCGATTTTGCCAAAAATATGAAATAAAAATTCAAGTTCTGAATGTTTATTTAATGGTATTATTGGCATTTAATAAATAAATGAGATTGTATAAAAGGAATATTAAGTGTGTTTGTAACACTAGCTTGTTGTTTATTTATGGTATATTTGGGAGAGGATTTTTGGAAGAGAAGGGAGGACACACACACATATATATATTAATTTTAAATTAAAAGAAATATATATAATTTGTGATGATAAATGCATAATTAATATATTAAGTTTATGTTAATGTATTTATATATTTTATTTTGAAAAAATTATTAATTTTTAATATATTTTTGTCAAATAAGAAATCTTTCCTTCCCTTTCCTCTCTTCAAAAACTTCCTTTCTAGACAATCCCTTAGATATTTGTGGTTTTTTTAGGGTTAATAAGCTAGTAGAGCTCTGATAAATTAAAAAGATAGAGAGATTGCAACTTTTTAAAGTTAACTTATGAACAGTTACGCCAAGTTCACTTATGATACTTTTGAAAAACAAAGGACAAATTCAAGTGATTAGTTGTCTCAGGCAAAAGCTGTTCGATTAGGGTGTCTATTAACTTCATCCACGTTGACCCTCCTCCCTGATGCTTCACGCGTGCCAAAAACCAATTAAGGAGATTGCTAAACTGAAATTATCTGTCCATGGTTACATATTCCATTTCCTAAAACTAAAAACAAAGGAATTATCAAATACAATACTACTGTTATGACCTTTTATTGCTTCTCTTTTATTTGTAGATAGCAGCATCTACACTTGTTGAGAAAAAGGAAGCTCCAAAATTGCTATACAAGTTATGGAAGGATAACTACTTGTATATGGAGGTGATCAGTCATTTTAATATTTGCAATTGCAAACACTCCAGAAATCACCTGATACTTGATATTTAATCTTTCCACAACTTAATCTTCGTTGCAGAAAATTCTTGCGACTGGAGCCAAGATATCAAATATTTTGATGTGGAAAGTTAATAAGCCTCTGCTTTGGGAATATGTGCTGGACGAGATGTACCATGCTGCCTTAAATTTGAGCCTAAGAATAGCTTTTGAGCAGGAGAAGGATGAAGAGGTTTGTAAATAAGACTGTTTATAAATTCACCTCAGTTAAATAAAAATGTTTATAAGTTTAGGTTATAATATCTGATTTGTTATTTTAACTCGTTATACAAACCTCGATGAGGCAAGGCGGAGTAGGAAGGATGTGGTTCCCCGTCCCCCATTGGGTTTTAAGGAGTCTTTTGATTTGCAGCCAATGTTGCAGGAGTAGGGGTCACGAGAAATGGATTTAATGTGTAAATAACTAAATGACATTTTTAGAAAATTAAAATACTAGTATAACAATATATATTAAGTAAAATATAATTATATTCATGCAATACTTATAATTATTAGCTGATATTTATATTATTGATTTGATGTCGTCATCATATTTTTGGCCTTTAATCTCTTGCAAAGTTTATTGAAAAAACATAATCAAAACCATTTTTAAATAAAAATATTATAATTAAACAATGATAATGCGCCAAGTGTATTTGGTGAAAAAAATACATAAGATTTTGAAGATAAGGCGCCAAGTGTGTATTCAGTACGGAATATGATACAGATACGATACCAATTTAAAAGTACCCATGCTTGAGTTTTTGCAACTACTAATGATGTCTTTCTTTTGCATCTAAATTACTGTAAGCTTTGCATTTTTTTTAGCTCTATTATTTATTATTCCAATCTAATCTACAACTTATGGGAGTCTACCAAGTAGCAATAGAAAAGGAAAATTTATGAATTAGTAGTCCTTGCTGCTATACTATTATATAGCTATTGTTGCGATGGACTTTTGGCATGACAACAGCTGTCAGAAAATCTGGGAAGATTGAGTTTCCTCATTCTTGCACTTCCTCTGATAACTGGAAACAAAATGTTTGACGTGGAATATTTGGTGTAATGGCATGCTGTACACAGCTCCGAACGTTGCTCCACATTTACTTTTATTATTGACACTATTTCCTGTATTGAGTCTCGTTATCAGTTGATTGACACTATTACTTCTTGTTTCAGCTTTTAAATGCTCCCAAGGACAAACGGCTACTAAAGGTCTGGTTACTCCTAGGATCATCATTGATGAAACTCGACGATGCTCTGATGCTTTTCCATGACTTCTGAACATAAATTTTAGGACAGTTATTTATTATGATTTCTTCGTAAAGGGAATAACAAATTTGATATTTTCATTATCGAAAAGTTCTGTGAATGTAATTGCAGTGTTCATATTAATTAATGAAAGTATAGGGAATTCGATGCAATGGATACACACCTTGGATGCGTTTTTTTTTTTTAATTATCATTATTTAATATTCGTTTTCCTAGATTCTTTTACATTTTAGGAAAAATATACATACATATTTAAAATAAAGGTTTTGCAGATAATTTCATAGACATGAAAGAGTCTTTGTCTTTACCCGCCTGTGCGAATACGAAATATTACTGCTTTAAATATTATGTGTTTGGTCCACGAAAATACAGTTGTAGCTTGAATATTTAATATCATTATAATTAAATTTGGTGAAATTATGATTGTAGTAATATCAGCTGTAATTGATTCATACGTTTCATGGTCTCTATACATGAAATTAAGTTATTGCTTGTCCGTTTCATCAGCGTCACCCGAGATTTTTAATTTGCTTTCCTTTTCCTCGTTTCCCTGTGTAGAAAAACGAAAGAAAGAATCACGCATCTTAAACCAGTGTGGACATATTTGTGTAAAATCCAATACTTCACACTCTGGTAAGACGTACCGGCCAAAAATTCTTACTAGTATTTTGAGAAACTGCAGAGCTAAAGCAGTCAAAAGGGTTTCACCGGCCAGTTTGAAATAAATGTTTTTCATACAAAATGTTCCAGCACTTACAAAAGTTGGAAAAGTTAATATCCAACAACCAAAATTCTGAAGTTTGAAAAATACAATTGCTGATAGGATACAGTTGAAATTGTTCTCAAGGGATAAAAAGTTTATATTAACTCACCAACATATCAATACGGGGCTACTCTATTTTTTGAAAACTTTAAAACATAACGATAATATATAAGGAAAATTTTCATATTTTTATTAACTATCAGTTAAATAAAATTTTAAACATTTATTGTGAAGATAATAACAACAAATATTTAACAATTCATCTAAATATAATAGCATATATCCAACATCAGCATTACTATAAACATTGAATAAAGTTCTTTAAAGTGTTTTATAAAGTGAGCAAATATAGATATATTTACTAGAAATTTAATTTAGAGTGTATACTAATCTTGTCTCACTAAAATTTAACACTACATAACACCATTACTTGTACATTGTAGAGACTAACTCATTTACAAAGAACTTTTTTTCTTTTTGATATTAACCCCCAGATCACAACTTCCTAACTTTAAAAATTGGATTCATTACTTTTTTTTAAAAAAATGTTTGTCCAATTTTGCAAGATAGCTTTATTTTTATTTATTTTTCTATTTAAAAATATAAAAAATATAAATTAATTATTCTTTTTGAATCAAATCCTTATTGTATATAATTTTTTAAATGTTACACATTTATCGAAAATGAAAAAGGAATAATAATATGGCAGAAGTTATATTAGGAAGTTAATAATAATTTTAATATGAATAAAGATATTCATTATATTTTTTTAATTTGCTATATTTTAAAGCAGATAGATAAGAAGAATCGAATGGAGTAATTTCGTGTCCAATTTTTGTTTTCTCAAAATTATCATGATTAGTTACTCATTTGAAAATTTAAATACAACATTTTTTGGGACATAACAAATTGAAAGACAATTATAAAAACGATAAAATTATGCATAAATTAATTAACGATAAGATATTACCTATTAAATCACAGAATAAAAATACAAATGTAAATAGGCGAATAAACCATAATCATGATGGCGAAAACAATAAAAAAATAAAAAAAATTTAAGTAATAAAATAAGAAAATGATGCATTAAAATTTTTTCCAAAGAAAATAAATGAAGTGTGGGAAATGATGTGATAAATTATGCAGGATGTCATAAATGTATATTACAATTAACACTTTAACAAAAAAATTTAATAATCCTATAAAAATTAACTGACAAAATAAAATTAGTGAACTTCACATTTAATTGAACTTATTTTAAAGATATAGTTTTAAATCTTTCTCTAACATATTCTCATTTATTTCCATAATTCAGTTTTTGCTCGACACTCATCAAGAGCAATGAAGTGTAAGGTTAATATGTTTTCGTGTTTCTTCCAATAGGCAAAGAAATTTGTTAAAATAAAAAGGATTACTTCAACTCTTACACAATTAAATGAGATTAATCATTGGTTATAATATGACCTTATGGACTCAGCAGGGTTAAAACACTGCTAGAAAAATTATTTTTTTTTCATAATTTTTTACTTATATAATCGTTGTTAATTTTAAATATTGTCTGCGGTTTAAATAACTATAGTTAAGTATAAATATTTTTTGTAGTTTATTATAATAACCATAGTTAATTAATGATGATTGTAAAAAATTTCAGTTAATTATTAAAATATATTTTTACTCTTATATTATGATAACTTGGTCACGTGCATAGAAATCCTTCTTTCTCAACCCAAAAATATAACCCTATTGTATTGCCAAAGGTTCATGTCCTTTCTTAACTTCTCTTTTGGCATCCTCTCTTTGTCAACTCTTCTTTGAATTGATTTCATGCTTGTTCTGTTGCGCAAAAGTTTGATTTAAAAACAAGTATGTTAATATTAGTATTTAGTTGTTTGTGAAATTTGAGCTTACTTATTTTAATGATGCTTTTGTAAGGAAAAAAAATTTAATAATATGAATCAACCAAATCTTTATCCCTAAAAATATCTACTCAAGATTCATTAGCTCATGTTTTAGGAAGTAAAGAGCATTGTGACCGTGTTCAGAGTCTGGGATTGAGTCCGTGTCCATCTCAAGTCATTAGATATCCTTCTCGTTCATATAATGAAATATCCTCATCTCTTCCTTCTTACAGGGAATTACAGAATCAAGTAAATATTTTAAAGTCACAAATGAATGAACAAAATAAAAAATTTGATGTAATAATGAATTTTTTCATTTAAAACTTTCAAGGTCAACTACCTCTAAACTTAGTTATGTTGGTAATCTTTTTAAATTGAACTGTTTTATTAATATATTACATACAAATTACATGACAATTCATATTTTTAACTTGTTCTTAATTATTACATTTTAAGTGACTGATCAAGGAAGTACACAATCAACTAATGTAACTGATCATTCTCCTTCAAAAATTTTAGAAGAAGAATTCTCTTACAAATTATAGTAGTAGTTTATCTATGAGTGTTTGTGGTTTTTAAAATTTGTTATGTTTATAAATTAAAGAAAATTATTTGATTTTTATGTGATATTATATAATATACAAGTGAATTAAAAAAACTTCAATTTTAATTATCAAAATTTTATATTTTTTAACGCATGCATTTAACAGGTATTTCATAACTGTAAGTAGTTTTAGCAAATTAATAGGAGTTCAAAAAACTACAAATATTTAATGAGAGTTTCAAAACCGCAGACAATCCACGTTAAATTTAACGGGAGTTTAAAAACATATTTAATGACAGTTATCAAATTCAAGATAATTAACAATATTTGTTGATTCGCGTATATTTAATGACAGTTAATAAATTGTAGGTAATTAATAGTGGTTATTAAACTGCTAGTAATTAACGATATTTATAAAAAATCACAATTAATTAGCAGAGGTTAAGTAAATGTAAAGAATACCAAATTTATTTGCAGTTGTTCAAAACTGCAAGTAATTTATTTACCATGCTTAAATTAACTATGCAACCACATATAATGTCATTTATAGCTATTTAAATCTTTATTATATCATAATTAACCATTGATAAACTATCTTTTTCTTGCAGTGAAATGTCAATCCGAAAATAAAATTCTAGAACCACCCACCCACCTTTCCTATATATGAACCATGACAAGTAGCCAATTTTAGTGTGGTCCAAGAAATAAATAATCAAATCAACCAAAAGCGACCTAACTGTTGAATGACATTACAGTTGCAAATTAACTATATATACTTCACCTTTTATTCCTCTAATGGAACCATTATGTTGTAGAATGCTTAGCTTAGCACTGTTAGAAGGAAGAGCAACATAAAATCTCCAAGCAGAAAAAAAGACTAAACCTGATGATAAAAGGCATAAAAAAATATATGCATCACAAACTTTTGATCACAATGGCAAAATAAACATTAATCCTCTACAAAATTGTAATTATGTTCCTATAAACATTTAATCCTCTACAAGAGTTGCCACTTTCCATATGAGAATGCAAGTACCTTTGGGAAAGCTCTCAACATTTCCAGAAACTCGTGAAGGTAACATTAACATTACTTTTATTTAAGTGTGAACTAGCTAGACAGAAACTAGAGAGGTAAATATGCTACCTTAACACTGGTTCCACGAGTTGTCGATTATGATGATTCAAAGCCATTAATCATCATCTTTATTTTTGTAAAATATTGATTAAGAGTAGTGTTTTCTTTTTAAAATCCAAACATCTTTAGATCATTCCCCCTATGTTAAACAAGGGAAAACTTGTCTTCTAATGATTGATGCAAGTTTGGGAACATTTCGTTTCAGCCATTATAAATATCCAGCCAAGATTCAACACTTTTTCCCGTGACCGATGTATGCTGTCACATGACCACTGTCCACTGCATCGAAATGAATCTTAACCACTCAATATATATTGTTATAATATATAATTTTATTAAATAATATATTTTAATAAAATTAAACGATATGAACGCACCCTGGATACCCTCTCATGTGAAGTTCTTGGTCCCTTAACAATAAGGGTTTGTTGAGAAGAATTTATAAATCTTTAAATAAATGCATCTTATATAAAATATAAATTAATTTCTTATTGAATATATAATAAGGTAAAAAAATCATGTGACCAAATTAAACTTAAAATTAGTAGCGTTGTTTTTCACGTGCGAAGATATCTACCAAAAAATAACAAATGTATATAATTAATATTTAAAATATGATGATCCCTTTGTCCACTGAACAAAATCTATAAAGACAAATGGACGCGTGAGAAAAACAAAGAGGAAAACAAATCCAAAACAATGATAATCTACTCACGAGCACCCATGCAAAAAATAAGAGTATGTTTGTTTTTATTTTTCTCTTTTTAAAAAAACTTTTATTAAAAATACAAATAAATATATTCTAAATA